GTAATAGGTAAAATAACAATGTAACCGGCCTAAATACATTGGTTTATGAGAAAACATGTATACATAAAGTATCGACACAAATTAAACAAGTGTCAATACTTTTTATCCATAATGTATTTTCCAAACCAAATGCACGACAAAGTGTCGATACATTTATAACAAGTGTCGATACTAAAAACATCGAATCACATAGATATAAAGTAATAGGTAAAATAACAATGTAACCGGCCTAAATACACCAGTTTATGAGAAAACAGGTATACATAAAGTATCGACACAAATATAACAAGTGTCAATACTTTTTGTCCATAATGTATTTTCCAAACCAAGTGCACGACAAAGTGTCGATACATTTATAACAAGTGTCGATACTAAAAACATCGAAACACATAGATATAATGTAATAGGTCACTTTACAATGTAACCAGTTTTAATTTACCAATTTTATGAGAAAATAGGTATACATAAAGTATCGACACTTTATTTATTTGTGTCGATACTTTTTATCCATAATGAATTCCCAAACTATGTGCACGCATAAAGTGTCGATACATTTATTAAAAGTACCGACCCCAAATACATCGAGACCAAAATTTATAATGTAATAGGTCACTTTACAATATAACCGGTTTAAATTTACCGGTTTTATGAGTAAATAGGTCTACATAATGTATCGATACTTTTTGCATTTGTGTCGATACTTTATGTTCATAATGAAGTCCAAACGATGTCCACGCATAAAGTGTCGATACATTTATAAAAAGTATCGACCCTAAATACATAGAGACCAGAAATTATAATGTAATAGGTCAATTTACAATGTAACCGGTTGAAATTTACCGGTGTAAATAGAAAATAGGTCAACATAATGTGTCGACACTTTTTAAATTTGTTTCGACACTTTAAAATTACGCGTGTTTTTCCCTTCTTTATTTATATACAAAACTCAAATCGAAAAAATCTAAAGGTAGAGAACTCTTCCACTCCAACGGTGATGACCTTCAAATGGAGCCCAAGTGTATCAACATTGAAGAAAATCGAAAGCGACCAGTAAGTATCAATGTATTCATGTAATTGTTCTTGAAATGGTAATTGGATTCAAGTTTTTAAGAACTTTTAATTGATTACAAATTTCAAATCTCTATAGTCTGATTGAATGCAAAATGATAAAGGAAGCTCATAATCATGTTGATTGCATAGCCAATAAAACACCCTTTTCAGGGTCCAAATGGTAAGATAGGAATTGGTAAGATAAGCTTTCTTTGAGGGTTTAGGGACTGAATCCCTACAACGTAAGGAGTACATGATTGAACATTACATATAATAGTTAAAAGTCGTAGATTGAATATTGTGGTTTACAATACTTAACGTACTGACAATTTTAATGTGAATGTAATTATGTATGAGATGAGAAAAGTTAGCAATAACAATAGGTTTTGTACATGTTTCTTATACATAATAGGAGCCATGTTGATACTTATGATATATGGAGATCGTTGTCTGCATTATTCCAAATGTCTCTAACATCATGTACTGGACTGAATGACCATTCCATTCTGTCTTCAAAAAAATCAGTTGAAGTAGGTTGTGTTCTTGTATTCAAACCCAGCTTGACTTGAGGACATGTTAGTTTGTTATATACTTCACCGTTGCAGAACCCACATCCCCTAATTTTCTTCTCGACCTTGTTCTTTGTTACTTCTTTTCACTTGCGTTGTTTTCATTGAGGGTCGTGAACATTGTTTAATACACTGCTCTGATTGACTGAATCATTCAAACCAAACGAGTTCTCAAATTCTTCTGTTAGTCTTTTCATCTCATCTCTTGCGGTTTTAAAAGATGTGTCTGTCTTTGATGCAGCGTAGCATAATATACTTGTTGTTGCACGTAGAGAATCAAACCTTGTCATTTACATTATTTCTGGAGGCACATTCAAATCAACAAAACTGGGTGCAGAAGCCTTCGTATCCTTAGTCCACCTACTCTAAATCAAAGACCTGGGCAAATATGTGTAATCCAAGTGCTTCAAAACGTGAAGTTGATGGCGACATGGAAGTCCAACGATCTCGAATTTTTTGCATGAGTAATTTAGGGTTTCTGTACGAGAATCAAAACTAGTTTTAAATGTCATATTTTTTTTTCTTTGTACTTTTTCAAATAAAAATATTGACATTTATCTGATAAGGACTGAATCTCTTCCTGAATCCAGTATAATGTCTCCTGTTGAAGTTCTTCTTGGAACGCATAAAAAGATTCACGCGTAAAAATCTCAGAAGCATGACTTTCAAATTCAACCAGTTTTGTGATCTGGAAGGGCTTCGTCAGGGAACTTAAGTATTCCGCTTTTAACTCGTTCAGACGCATTCTATTAATTCCATCTTCAATTGCATGAACAACATCTAAATATGTCTTCTTGTGTTTCAGTACAATTGTGAGTGAAGCATTCATAGACTCGCACATTTGTGTTGAGCGAATATTAGCAAAGAAATGACCGGTTATATATGCTTGTGCCCATAAGTGCCAAGTATTTCCCTTTTCAATCACCCATGGATGCTTTTCGACGTTGAATTTTGAAACAACTGAACGCCATTGAATATCAAATTCGTCGGTTGTTCACCAGAAAGCCATGCATTTTGAGAATGCTGTTGTAAATTTTAGGTCACCAATGTTAGCTTGTGCATTGCGAGAAAGATGCCAAAAATATAATCTGTGCTTAGCATTAGGGATAACAGATTTGATAGCCCTCTGCATTGCCCTATCCCCATTGATGACAATTGAAATAGGCAATTTGTTCATCATGGCTTCTAAAAAATTATGTAGCACCCACTCGAAAGATTGGGACATCTCGTCAGCGATTATGGCAGTAGCAAACACAATTGTGTTATGGTGATGATTGACACCGACAATAGGCATAATTGGTCGACCATACAAATTATTTTTGTACGTTGTGTTTAACGCAATTACATCACCGAAGCATACGTAATCTGATCTCGATGTAGAATCCGACCAAATAAGATAATGCAACACCCCTGATTCGTCTACTAAGTATGTTACAAAAAACCCGGGATCATCATATTTCTTATAATCAAAGTAAGCAATAAGCGCATTCACATCCCATCGACGATTTCCTTTGTTTTACCTCTTTGAAGTGCATTGTAGAGGTCTTTATATGTAAATCCAACGTTATGATAGCCCCCTGCCTGCTGCGTTAAATAGTTTATTACTTGTGATGTGCCAACACCGACCTCTTTCAATGTTGTTGCCTCATCGATATCAACCTTACACACAACTCTATTAGAACACATAAATGGTGTCATAGCAGGTGTGCACAATGCATGATTATGTTTCTGATAAGACTTACTTATAACCCACTGATCGTTTGTATTTGTTACTGTAACTATGACTCTAGCCTTGCATCCTGTTCTTGTGACTGGCGTATGAGCACGTTGACGATCAACAATATTGACTTTTGATACTCGAAACCCTTCTTTGGAACAACAAAATTCTTGTGTCTTCACATTCCCTTCCACGTCAAGCCGTGTTGTTCCCTTACGTGCACTAAACCCATGTTCCTGTGCGAATCCCTTGTAAAAGTACCAAGCTTGATCACGTGAAGAGAAGAGCTTACCAACCAATATGTCATATTCATCAACATTATGTACTTCATGGCATTCATCAGTTGGCTTAACATTGTCTACATCAGTATGATCCATGGCAAAAATTTTGTTGTGCAATTTCAGTGGTCACAACAGGAGTTGATGGAGATGTAAGTAAATGTTCATTGAACAATATGTTTCAGTGGTGCTTTCAATAGGATGTGGTAGTTGAAGGTGTGTACAACATTAAATTTGCAAGACATATTCATGTATGTACAATAATTACAACATTTAATAACTTTAAAGTAATAGGTAAAATTACAATGTAGGTGGTAAAAATATACTTTTTTAATGACAAAATTAGTAAACACAAAGATTTGTTTCGATACATATGTAAACATATGTGTCGATACATTTTTCAAAAGTATCGACCCCAAAAACATCGAAACAAATAATTATAATATAATAGGTAAATTAACAATGTAACCAGTATACATATACCGATTAATTATAAAACATGTCAACATAATATATCGACACTATTAGAATTTGTGTCGATACTTATTGTCTAGAATGAATGGCCAAACGACAGGCACGCATAAAGTGTCGAAACATTTATAATATAACCGGTAGAAATATACCGGGTTAATGAAAGAATAGGTTAACATAAAGTATCAACACTTTTTAAATTTGTGTCGATACATTTGTCCAGACGAGGTGTACGCATAAACGGTTGATACATTTATAAAAAGTATCGATCCCAATACATTGAAACCGGTAATTATTAACAGGTTACAATGTAACCGGTAAAAATATACCGGTTAATTAGCAAATATGTATACATTATGTATCGACACTCTTTAAATATGTGTCGATATTTTTTTTCCAAAATGAAAGCACAAACAGGTGCACGTATAAAGTGTCGATACATTTAAAATTATATTAATCCCAAAAATATTGAAACCAATAATTATAATATAATAGGTCAATTTACAATGTAACCGGTTAAAATTTACCGGTTTTATGAGAAAATAAGTCAATATAAACGCTACATATTACATTATATAAGTGATATCTAATATGTTATTGTACTTGGTAATATTTCCGGTTAAATGTCTATTTTATTATATAAATGCTACCTATTACATTATATAAGCGTTATCTAATATGTTATCGTGCTTGATAATATTTCCGATCAAATGATATAATATAATATGTTTAAATTTTAACCGATCACTTTTTTAACCGATCACGTTATTTTTTAGACACTGCACAACAGAATCACCCAAACACCCTCGTAATATATATATATATATATATATATATATATATATATGGTGTGAAGCAGGTGAAACAGTTGTAAATAGAAACGGCGGCTGACAGCACCGTATTTGGTCTGAACTTCAAAGTTTGTTAAAACTGTCACCAAATCCAACTACTCCTTTCACGGTCCAAACCAAAATCCCAATCTCGCTTCACTAAAACTTGATTTCCCAATCTTCTCTATAACTAAGGATTTGTTTCAGAAGATCTAGGGTTTTTGCAAATGGAGATTTCAGAGCAGAAAGTGGTTGCTGTTATCATGGTCGGTGGACCCACAAAAGGTAAACGACCTTAGCCTTTGTCTTCTTGCTTTGTTCATACAAATTCAGCCGATTTTCTTGTTGTTGGGTTTTGATTTTGATGATTGTTGCTTTTTATTGATTCTCTCCCCCTCCCCCTCCCCCCTCTCCAACCAACCCCCACAGGGACCAGATTTAGGCCTTTATCATTCAATACTCCAAAGCCTTTGTTCCCTTTAGCAGGTCAGGCTATGGTTCATCATCCAATTTCTGCTTGTAAACGGGTACCTTTTTCACCACCCTTTGGCTAATTTTCTTTATAAATTCCAAAGCAAATAGTCATATTATTTGTATTCTTTGTTATTGTAATCTTATGTTTGATGATCCAAAGTGTTCGTCCTATGATCGTTCCTGTAAGTTAACATATATTTTAACATGGACACGAGAGTATGATTCTCTAAATATAGGACAGAATTTGAGGTCGGACATGTATTGTATGATATCGCACTCATTCCCTAGTTCGAGTAACATATAATTTTCCTTTTGTTGCTGTTGTAATTTTCAATCACAATGTCTGAATTCGTTGATCTACCGGACCTTTATTTTGTTTGTTGCGTAGATACCGAACTTGGCTCAAATTTTTCTAATTGGATTTTATGAGGAGAGAGAGTTTACATTATACGTCTCTTCGATCTCTAATGAGTTAAAAATACCAGTGAGGTGATTACTGATTAGTGCACCAATCCTTTTTATATTTTCTCATTTTTAGCCTTTTATTCTGAGGTGGATCTCACATATACTTTTTCCTTTCTTTTCAAATTGATTGAGTTAGATATTTGAAAGAGGATAAACCCCATGGTTCAGCTGGTGGCCTCTATTACTTCAGGAATATTATCATGGAAGACAACCCAGTTTGTATTCTGCATTCCTTTTTGTACTCGTTCATGCTAATTTTTTTTTCCTCTACCCTTCAAAGCTCTGAGTCTCGGTCATCTATAACTTCTCAAACAATGCTAAGTCAATGTGCATATGCTTTGAGTTACTTCTCATATCGTTTTCCACTTGTGCAGTCGCATATCTTCCTGCTGAATTGTGATGTTTGTTGCAGTTTTCCGTTGACAGACATGCTTGGTAACTTTCCTATTCTTATGTAGTTATATGTTTCTGAGTTTGCTTCCCCGAGAACTAATTAGATGCTTGTTTCTGCAGAGGCTCACAAAAGATACGGTGGGATGGGAACGGTGTTAGTAATCAAGGAAAGTTCCCTTCTTTTCCAAATTTATATTATCTGTAGATTGATTGATTATATAGTTTACCTTAATTGCAAAAAATTTAGTCCTTGTTGTGGTCTTCTTTTGATGTTTTCTTCTTGTTTCCCGTGCAGGTTTCTGCGGAAACAGCTAATCAGTTCGGTGAGTTGGTTGCTGACCCGATCACGAAAGAGCTACTGCACTACACTGAGAAACCCGAGACTTTTGTACGTTCACGGTGCAATTTTAATCTCTCACTTAGAGTGTATGAGGAATTGATAGCTTGATTAATAGTCCTAAGCCAACCTTTTCTTTGTGCTGTTTACATTTGATGGATTGCAGGTAAGCGATTTAATTAACTGCGGTGTTTACATCTTTACACCCGATATCTTCACTGCCATTCAGGAAGTCTCCACACATCGAGAAGACCAAGGTTGTATTTTATTCGTAATTGCAATTTTTGATGTCTTAGCCAGCATAATGTAATCTTTGTATGGTCTTGCAAAAGATATGAATACAAATCATTGAATATTCGGTCTTGTTCTTTTGGGCTACCTGCTGCATGTTGCAGTCATCGTGCTTTTACGACACAATTGTTTCTAATATACAAGAAAAACTTTTATCTCACTACTGGGAAATGACTTTTTCTTTGTCCTATTGCAGCTAATTTACGCCATTTGTCAACCTTTGACGCACTGCAATCTTTGACAAGGTTGTCTCTTTCACTTGTCTTGCTGTGTTAGACAGTTATCTTTTACTGATTTACTTTTAAATATTTAAGACTATAGATGACAAACATGTCTGTTTATAATTTGGCTTTTGGATACATCTTGATAGTATTCGTAACTTTATGATTGATTTTTAGGGTAAAAGAAAACAAACTTTTGCACATATTCCTCAGGCTGCACAATCAATCTGAAACATTCTTTCTCAGATATCTCTCTCTGTGCTTATATTTTTCGTAATAAGGTCGAGATTAAATGTTTTATCTTTGATACTTTTTTATGGTCTCTGCTCCTAAGAAATTGTTTGATATCCTTTTTTCTTTTTGGGTGCATTTATTTGTTGTCAATTGCTGCAGTTCGTATCTTAATGCTGATATCTATTTCCTCTAGGGCCTTTCCCCTTGATTTTGTTAGATTGGATCAAGATATTTTGTCCCCATTTGCGGGAAAGAAGCAGTTATATACTTATGAAACCATGGATTTCTGGGAACAAATCAAAACTCCGGGGTAAAATGTTTTGGATTGATGTTGCCCTTTTTTTCGATGAGGTATCATTTATTCTGCTCCATATTTAAATTTGGCATTATCCATACAGGATGTCTTTAAAATGTTCTGGTCTTTATCTTTCTCAATTTCGGTTAACTTCCGCTGATCTATTGGCTGGTGGAGATGGAAGTAAAAGTGCTTTGATTGTTGGCGATGTTTATGTGCATCCCTCAGCAAAAATACATCCGACAGCAAAGGTATTCCATCTAGTCTTTTTATTGAAGCAGTTCTCGATATTTGTTGCTCAATCATGGAACCAAATGCTAAGTTGCTTTCATGAACAGATTGGCCCCAATGTCTCTATTTCGGCAAATGTTCGTATAGGAGCTGGGGCAAGGCTTATAAATTGTATTGTTTTGGATGATGTCGAAGTTCAGGTAAGGAAGTTAATGCTTGGGGGAAAAATCACAATTTTCATTGCGATGAGCCTGTACTAGTATTTATTCATTCGAGAAAAAAATAATCTGGTCTATTTTCTCCATGCAGGAAAACGCTGTTGTTATTAATTCTATTGTCGGATGGAAGTCGTCTATAGGGAAGTGGTCTCGTGTCCAGGCGAGTTTGGTACCCTTGTACTGATACAGTATCATATACTGTGTTCAATTAGTCTTGTTTATAATCGTAGCATGCACAAACTGTTTCCTTGGTGGGGAATAGAACTTGATTGATGATTACCCAATAATAAACTGTTGGAAGAAATTACCAAATTTTGCCTTAACGAAAGATCATGCTCGAACATCAGTGCATAAGACGGATTATTTTGCTCAGCTGGCTAATGTTTAACCTTATATTTCCAGGCTGATGGAGACTACAATGCAAAGCTTGGAATTACTATCCTTGGTACTTTTCCTATTAAATTTCTAGATGGTTTGGTATAATATACTTTTAACAGATTAAATAGTCACATTTGTTTAATTTCTGTTGCAGGAGAGGCTGTAATTGTAGAAGATGAAGTTGTTGTGATCAGTAGTATCGTTCTTCCGAATAAGACCCTTAACTTAAGCGTGCAAGATGAGATCATTTTGTGAGATCGGAGATGTCTTTCCAACGAAGTCCTTACTTTTAAACTTTCTTCCTTGTTTCACTACTAGCATCGCCAACTAGCAGCAACTATTGCCATACAAGAAACTTTGTGCCCGATTTTCGAGACGCATCAAGCTCCGGTAGCAGCGAAGGCTTCTACAAAGTAAATGTAACGTAATGAAGGTTCCTACCATATCTGAACGGCTCAAAAAAAAAGTACTTCAAATGGATACGAAGATTTAGGGATCTCGATGTTGCTTATTTACATTTGTGCCGGTCTCAGTGAAAAAATGGTATATTATTGTGAAACAGATAAAGAAACTGTAGAACCTTTGTACCTTGCCTGATTATTATATGAAGATATGCTCTGCGGTGATTTTCTTCTTCTACGAAAGAAAAAATATTCAGTGTCCAACACATAGGAAATCTGCCAGCATAATACACAGATCATAGGCGAAAAGAGACCCAACAAACATAAGCGATTTTGATATACATGCAACCACTTCGTCGTCTATGCTAGGCCATACAATAAAGAGAGGTAAAAGATTTAAATCATAAGTTATTAACAGCAAAATACCTTGTATGAGTTGCATACTTCTTGTTTCTGCAAATATAAGTAACCAAAAGCAGATAAGCATTCGTGAATCGGTACGTGTCCAACATGGTTATGTTAAATGTTTTCTAAGTTTTTCCATATATTAATTTGCAAGACCCCTCCAATGTCTAAAAATGTGTTGGACAAAAGTTAGGTTCCATGACGAAACCGCAAAGGCCTCCTACTTTTCGATGACATTTTACATTGCTGAATAGACGAACAAGATGGAGAAGACGACAGCAAAAAAAAAAAAAAACCAGAAAAAAGAAACTGCATAACATACATGGGGTTTAGAAAGATAGTAGGGGACGCAAACTTACGCTCGAGAGGTGTATGTTACAACTTATTTAGCAATCATCATAATCTATTGCTAATCTTACTCTTTTCCTCAACTTAAAAGAGAAGAAAACATATGATACAATTATGGACATAAACATAGACATTTATTATTGCATTTGAAGAATCAAAGCTCATATTACAGTGATTGCCCACCTCCCATTCAGCACAGGGAAGGAAAAAGGAAAACCTGGGGAGAGAATATTGTAAATAAATTAGGCTTTTTACCATCAAAATTTGGATGGTTTTACCATAAATAAAAAGCCTAATCTAACCCTTTTCAACTAGGTTTAGTTGATTGTGTGAGCAGTGTTGTCAAGGGGTCTCCTTTGGAGGTTAACCAATGAGAAGTAAGCTCCATTGGGTCCTTTAGCCAACAATGACTGATGGGTCCCTTTCTCCACAACCTTGCCTTTATCCAACACTGCAATTTGGTCACAGTTTTGAATGGTGCTTAGCCTATGAGCCACTACCACACTGGTTCTCCCCACCATTACTCTCTCCAGTGCATCTTGCACTGCTTTCTCTGTATGACTGTCAAGTGCACTGGTTGCCTCATCCAAGAGTAAAATTGCAGGGTTTATCAGTATGGCCCTTGCTATTGCAATGCGTTGCTTTTGGCCACCGGATAGCTGAACTCCCCTTTCACCACACAATGTATGATATCCATCTTTTAACCCTGAAATGAAGTCATGGGCATTGGCTGCGATGGCTGCCTCGATGATCTCTGCTTCGTTCGTCTCATCCGACGCACCGTATGCAATGTTTTCTTTGATTGTACCGGCAAACGATGTGGGCTCTTGACTAACAAGTGCAATGTGTTTCCGTAGTGACCTAAGGTGGTATGACCTTATATCTCTACCATCAATCTTCACTGCTCCGTCAAGGGGATCATAAAATCTCTCGATTAGTCCGATGATGGTTGACTTACCGGATCCACTTTGTCCTACCAATGCAGTTGATTTACCTGCTTCGATTTTTAGTGAGAAGCCTCTAAAGATCATCACGTCGGATCGGGCAGGGTACGCAAAGTCTATGTCGCGAAGTTCCACATTGCCTGTTATCGTTTCAGGTTTGTAACCATCAGGGTCTTCTGGCTCAATTCTCGTATATCGGTCCAATATTGCAAAGACTGATCCAACTGCATCTGACCCCTTTGCAAGGTCAGAAGTCATGCTTCCTGCATCAGCGATCACTCTGCCTGTGCTTACTAAGATCACGAAAGTCTCGAACAAGGCCTTTGCAGTGATGTAACCTTGAGACATAAGTTTACCACCATACCAAAAGTCTAATGCCCAAGTACAAGTTGTTAGGCTTTGTGATGTGCCAAGGCCAATGCCAGCAAACCATGCTTGGCGAATGCTCTCTCTTTGTGGGCCTTCTTGGGCTTTCTCGAGCATCTTCAGGATTCGGTCTTGGGACGAGAAGGCAGTGATGGTTCGGAGGTTGGAGACTGCCTCTGCGGCCAGCTTGCTGCTTTCATCTTGGGCTTTGATAGCCTTCTGAGACATGCTTTTAAGCAAGACACGTCTGGCATAGAAACAAACGATGATGATCGGTTGGACGGCTATCATCACAAGCGCAAGCCTCCAAGCTATGACCAACCCCATCGAACAAGCTATGGTTACTGCTGAAATGGTTTGCACAATTAGTGCCATCCTGTCACCAACCAAAGATCTCACCTGCAACAACAATGAGAACAATCAGAAACCACAATCCGGTTCGGTGATCTTTTTGGCTTAATGTCTCCATAATCCATGGAAGATAATTACAAAATATAAACTTTCCATCTCTTTTCAGTTTCAACTGCGGATGACATTAAAAATTTATTGCAGAAGAATAAGAAAATATATACCACATTGGCATCCTTGGCAAGTCTAGAACAGATAGCTCCACTTGAATTCTCTTCTTGGTCAAGCCAGCCTAATTCGAAAGTGAGTATCTTCGAAAGCATCCGCTCTCGAATCCTCTTTGTCAAGTACTCTCCCATGTACGCGAAATTATAATGCTGACCAACATTAATCAGCAATGTAAACACTGACAACCCGAGAAAGCATAAGGCATAGATCTTAGTATTTTCCTTGATTTCTTGATGATCAGTCAAAAAATATACTGATAACATAGATCCCATTGAGAATGCATAAACAGGTTGAACTGCACCAAATAGGATTGCACATAAACATCCCAAGATTGCTTGTTTCCATTCTGGTACGTTCAATGCCAACAATCTTCTAAAAGATGGGACTGGCAATTTTTCTTGATCTTCCACCACAGATTCTCCGGTTGATGGAGGACGGTTTTGAGAAAACGAATTGGCTGAGCTCGACCGACTAACCAATGAAAGTCTTCTACTACTTGTATTGTTGATATCCGTATTTGAGATTGAACATGAAGCATAAGTAGATAAATTTGAGTAAGCTTCTTCAGGATTCTTTTCTTTCTCTGTTTGCTGAAGGTGGACTAATGCAGTGTAGTGGCCATTTTCATTTTCTATCAACTCATCATGTGATCCGGTTTCTATAACCTGGCCATTTTGGACAACTGCTATAAGGTCAGCATTACGGATGGTGGAGAGACGGTGGGCAATTACTATGGTGGTTCGACCGATGGCTGCTTGGTCTATAGCTTCTTGTACAACTCGTTCGGATTCTGAGTCTAGTGCACTTGTTGCCTCATCCAAGAGAAGGATTTGGGGTGCTTTTATAATTGCTCTTGCTATAGCAATTCTTTGCTTTTGTCCCCCGGACATTTGAACCCCTCTTTCTCCAACCTTTCCAAATAAAAAGCTTGAGTAAATGATATGAACTTGTAAATGATGATCCAGAAATCTTTACTATGTTCTAGTCGTTTTTGAAAAATAGTATGCAACGGATGCAAAGGACGAGGACTAACCTGAGTGTCATATCCCTGTGGCAATTGGGATATGAAATTGTGGGAGTTTGAGGCTTTCGCAGCTTCAATAATCTCTTCCATACTAGCATCTTCCTTGCCAAAAAGTATGTTCTCCTTAATGGTTGTAGCAAAAAGTGTTGGCTCCTGACTCACCAAACCCATCTGTGACCTTAGCCACTTGACTTGCAATTTATCGATGGCGACCCCGCCAAGGAGTATCTCACCCCCTAGAGGATCATAAAACCTTTCCATTAGTGCTATGATTGTGGATTTCCCGGAGCCACTACCACCCACTAATGCCACAGTCTTTCCAGCTGGAATGGTGAGGCAAAAATCTTTGAGAATCATGGTTTCGGACCTCGATGGATATGCGAATTCAACGTGCTTGAATTCCACTGATCCTGCAAAATTTTCCAAGATTTCACCTTCTAGATTGTCTGAATCAATCTTGGGGACCCTTTTTATCACCTCCACGATCCTTTCCCCAGCTGAACATGCTTCAGAGAAATACTTCAGGTTCGACAAGCTAGCACCCAATGCCCTGATGATCCAACAAAACCAACAAAAATCACTATAAATGTTGAATTTATTTTTTTGAGAAAGCATAAACATAATCCAAAAAGTGTTCAAAGAAACTTACAGGCCTCCCATGGCAATGGCTGCACCGACAACGAAAACTGTCCCTCCTTTAGCACCATGGTACATGACCATCCTACTGCCATAATAAGCCAAGAATGACCAAGTTGCAAAAACCACCCCATTGCTTCCAATTGCCAGACCTTTAGCCAAACCTTGTCTTAACCCCAACTTGACCGACCCTTGTAAGGCCACTGAGAATTCGGCAATCGTCTTGCTTTCGCCAACAAAGGCGTAAACTGTTCTTATAGAAGAGATCGCCTGTTCTGCTATTATACCAGCTTTGTTGTATTCTTCTCTTATCTTTCTAGCTATTCCTATCAATCCTCTTCCATACATTAAACCAGGAATCACCAAAATAATAGCAAAAGGGAATCCTACTATTGCTAGCCTCCATAGCATTATGAACGCTACCATGTAGCACCCCACGAATATTGCAACATTCATCAGAAAATTTGGAACCTGATTAATATTAATTTAAACATTAGCAAATAAATCAAGAGATTATATCGAATTTGAAAATGAAAATACCTTTTCACTGAGAACATCTTGGATCACTAGGCTGTCATTTGAAACACTAGTGATAACTTCTGCTGTGCTTGTGACATGCAAATCAAAGTATCCCACATCTTGTCTTAGGACTGCTTTCAAATATCTGGTTCTCATCCTTGTTGCTTGTCTTTCACCTGTTCTTGACCAACAAAATCCCTCTGAAAAAAAAAAACCAGAAATCAATGAAAATTACCCAGAAAACAAAACAAAGCATTGATTAATACAAGAGAAAAGTACCTAGAAAACAGGCAAGCCATGACC